TTATGGAACCAAAGAGGCGATGACTCGAAAAAGTTTGAGAATCACTGGATTAGACGGTTCCTCGTCGGTTTTCTATATATTCACTTCTGGTTATAAGCTCTTGGCACAGTCAGATTATTTACATAATTAAGTAGCAAATATAATACACCAAGAGCTTGAAAAGAAACACAAATTGGTAGACATTCACGAACCATACTACAAATACATTCTATAGACAGTATTGGAAAACAACACGCACAAAATGTACTACGACAGAGCCATAATCACAGATAAAACAATTTACCACAACAGACAACACACTCATTGACAAACACAATAAAATCACATACGTTGAAGACATATCTATTCCAATCACAATGTACAAAACACATGCACTGAAAAAATCAGCAAGTACACCGAACTCGCTCAGGAAATAAGGCATCTGTGAAGGATGGAAAGATTTTGTACCTGTACTGTATTGTACCTGTCATTCTCTCCTGTACAGGTGTGATACCATACACACTACACAAAAGCCTGGGCATATTACAGTTGAATAGAAACACATGCATCACACTACGGAAGGCCACTATATTGAATGCATGTCATATTGTTAGGAAATTACTGAATATAGACACACACACTGACACACTTATTTAATTTTAGTCTTGTTTTGGTTGCTATGCCTTGACTCTGGTCCGGCAGAGTACACAGCAACTGGTGTCAACCGAGTATAATTCACTAAACCCAATATAATAATAATAATAATAACGAGTTCTAATAAAAATATAAATTTTTAAAATATCAGGTTCAAATTCAAATTAAGAGTTTACTGTTCCGGGAAAAGTTTTATTCGTAAAAGTACAAAATTAAGAACGCGTTAGTAGTTCCGGCGGGAACTGTCTCGTTACTCGATGTACAACTGTTCCTAGTATTTCCGAGTCCGGAACTACTCCTCTAGTCCGGACTGATGGCCGGATGGCCGAGAGGTTAAGGTGTAGGCCAGCCTACCAATCTGTAAGCTCGGGAGCGAATCTGGACGGGGATTTGGAATTTTTTGGGAGATTGTTCGTCTCGAACATGTCGAGCCCCGTCCCTCACACGAGAAAATCCACAATAATCTCCACGACACCAGCGTCTCTATCAGTATAAATAATTGATTTGTTACATTTTTAACTTAACTTCCACAATAACACATTATCTCACTGAGAATTTTCTATCTCACGTTAACTTTCTATGAATTTTTCAAATCGTAGAAAATTAATGAATTCGATTTTCAAAATTCGTAATCATATGTTAATAGAAGAATTAAATAAGACTCTAACGCAAAATACTATTTGGTTTTATCTACTTCCGCTTTGTAGAATTTTTATAAAATAATTTTCCTATAGAAAAGATTATTGAATTTTTAGCGCCATCTGCTGTAGATCGCGGGCATAAACAAAGAAGTTACAATCTGCCTTAATCAAATGAAATAAAGCATAATACAATTTTAATTATTAAAATTACAGCACTTCTTCTTCTTTAACTTCGCCTTTTCCCATGTTTATATGGGGTCGGCGTTTTCTTCTCTAATACGTTTTTTCCATTTCTCCCTATCGAGGGCTTCTTCTCTCTTAAGACCCCTTTGGTTCGAGTCTTCTTCCACCTTATCTTTCCAACGCATCTTTGGTCTTCCTCTTTTTCTCTTTTCTTTTATTACCAGTTTTCCGATCTTCTTTCCAACATAATTGTCACTTCTTCGCTCTACGTGGCCAAACCACCTCAACCTACATTCTTGCATCTTTTTGCTCAAGGGGCCCACCTTAACAGAACCTTTAATAAAATCATTCTTTACTCTATCCTTCCATGACACTCTACACATCCGTCTCAGCATTCTCATCTCCGCCACCTTCATCTTTCTTTCTTGGACTCTTGTTATTGCCCGTGTCTCAGCTCCATATAACATTGCGGGTCTAACAACTGATTTATACAATTTTCCTTTCAGATTGCAGCTAACTTTCTTATCGTATAACACACCGCTCAGCTTCCTCCAGTTCATATATCTACATTGAATTCTATGCTGCACCTCCGAGTTCAAACCTCCTCCCATCTCGACAAATGTCCCAAGATATTTAAAACTCAGAACAAAAGGAAGCGGCACATTTTGGATTTTAATATTACACTCCTCTCGACTATTCAGAGTCATAAAAGCTGTTTTAGTTTTGCTAATCTTCGTGTCTCTTTCTTCCAAAACTTTCCTCCAGTCTTCCAGTTTCTTCTCAGACTTGGTGGGAAAGTTCACACAGCACAACATCGTCCGCAAACAGCATACTCTACGGAGCCTCACCCTTTACATCATACACCAACACGTCTATTATCGGTCAAACAAATAAGGGCTAAGGGTCGATCCCTGATGCAAACCAACATTAACGAAGAACCCTTCTGTAGTGCCACACTACGCTTAACTTGGGTCTCTGCTCCCTCGTACATTTTCTTGACGAGCCTAACATGTTTTTCTGGAACATTCTTTTCCCTCAAACATCTCCATATCTATTGCCTTGGTACCTTATCATACGCCTTTTCTAGATCTTTGAACACCATGTGCAAATCTTCCTGCATTTTCTTGTGCTTTTCCATCAACTGTTTTAGAGCAAATATAGTATCAGTCGTACTCCTTCCCGGCAAAAAAAACCCAAACTGTTCCTCTCCAATCTCAGATACCAGCCTAATCCTTCTTTCTATAATTTTCTCCCAAATCTTCATACTGTGGGACAATATCTTTATACTTCTGTAATTTCCGCAATTCTGTACATCCACTTTACCTTTAAAAATCGGCACAAGAATGTTCTTCCTCCATTCATCTGGGATCTTCTCCTGATGCCAGAGTTTCTTCATAAGGTCGCATAAGGATATCAATTCCCTCCTTAACAATACAATTTATACTGCATCAATTATCTCTATATTTTGTATGTTATACACATACAAAATAAAGTATTTTATACAGTATTACATATTCAGTTTTGCTCAATAATTAACTATAGGTCTGTTTGATTGGAAGGGAAAAATACACGTTTTTTGTCAATTTGACGTCATTACGTCAGTTTTACAATGAAAAATTCTAAAAATTGACGTCAAATTTATGTAAAAATATGCAGTATCCCAACCTATGTAACAGACCTTATAATACGTTAAAATTATCTAATTCTATCTTACATAATCTAGAATGCTTTGTTGATACGAATTTCTCTCTCGATATTTTTTGAATTCATATGTTTCTTTTTGTCTTCCCGATGGAATTACAAACAATTTTAACGTAGTTGATACACGATTAGAACACGAATAATGTACTTATCTATCATTTTACCAGAAAATGACGCCCTATTATGATGTCACACTTTCTCGACCAATCATGGCAATTGTTGAAAAAAAGCCACGGAAAAGCGTGTTGCTACTTTTATTCTAGGGCTTTACCGCGGCATGGAGTTCTAGGTGACCATGGTATCCAGAGAATACTTATGATGATACCTTTATTTATAATGTTTGCTACTTCAAAACAAAAATAAATATAATAATATATAACGCATGACTTCGACTAGGTAAGGTTAGGTAACTAAAGGCCCACTAGTGGCCGAGTGGTTCTGTCCCTGAACCCTGGGAGTTCGGTCGTGGGTTCTAGCTTCACCCGGAGAGGCTGGCCATGTGGAGTTTTTCAGGTTTTCATCATGTATCTAACACGTAAATGAAGAACAATTTTCTCGTAGAAAGTCTTGGAAGGAATTCCGCCCATGGCAGACCGCCCATGTGTCGCGTTATCATATTCCATCATCTATTCGTGAATTGGAAATGAAAAACGAAGCTTCTGTCAAAATTGTTCGTGAAAAATTATATGTTTCCTTCAGCATGAATGCAGTTCCTTCGCGGCTGTAGATATGGTGAGATTTTTGATCGATTCTAATCTAAATTAAAATCTTAATTTTTTGAAAAATTTTATTATCGGAATTTAAAGGAATTAAAAATAATATTGCTAATTTTTAAATTACAATTATATAATTTGATTCGATAAAAAATATAAATAATTTTGAAGGTGATATAAAAATATTTCACGATTTGTAAAGATCACAGAGGGCGTTGTAGTATGTGTGCGTGTAAATATGTTGTCGGCATACAACGTGACTCGTAAAGAAGTAAAGAAAGCATTCGACGTTCTTAAAGGAGTTTTTGCTGTTAATAAACCTAAAAATACGAGTTGTGATGACGTTTTACGTATAATAACTCTTCAACTTAGTGATGGTGAATATGTATTTTTAATAGTTTAATATAAAATTCCACTCGGTTAGATTTACCTTAGAGAGCCAAAATGGCGTCACTTCCTGTAACCTCGAATAAGATCACTCGGTGACAATTAACATAGAGGGAGTTGTGTTTGTATAATGGTGTAGTGTCTAATAAGAAGGACGTAATAAGTGAAGTATTATAGTTTATAAAGAGCTAAAATCTCCATATAAACACTGAAGAAGAAGTATTATTGTTATCGTGCATTAACATTAACATTCTTATTTTTATCATTTAATTTATTAATATTTAAAAATAACTCAAATAATTGTTAAAAAATATAATCTGTTTTTAGGATTTTTTTGCTATNCCGATACTTTTTGAACAGACCTTGTACTCCTGTAGGCCATCGTCAGTTTCTAAAAACGGTTTTAAGAAACCTAATATTGGCCTAATGGAATAGACTGAAAATGTTAGTTATTAAAAGTATTCTCTCAACAAATGCATAGATGTGGTTGTAAATTTGTAATTTATCTCTGCTGACCACAGTAATTATATCTGTAAAATTTGTGATATATTGAAATAACAAAATAGCATTATAAAATTTATAAAATTATTTTATAATAATTTAACGTTCGTTTTGATTTAATATATTATATTATTCTGATAAAAGTTTTCAATTTTAATTCTTTTACTTTTTAATGAAAATTATAATTTACTTTCATCCCCAGAGGGCATATTTACATCATGGCGGCATCCAGTTATAATGCTTGATTTTCTGTAAAACTCATTGAAGATGTCATTTCGACTGCTGTTAGCTGTAAGACGACCTTTAATTAAGATTTTCAATGGAAACTGTTGTATATTTCGTCAGATTTCTACTAAAAAATTACAATCTTTACCTGTTCAGGTTAGTATTTACTTATCTAATTAATTTACTTTTAACCGTTTTTTAACAGTTTTTAGAAACTGACTTACTGGTTATATTTACCCAAGGTCCTAGATTCTAGGACCTTGAGATTTACCTTAGGTAGCCAAAATGGCGGCGCTTCCTGTAACCTCGAATAAGATCAATTAGTGACAATTAACATAGAGGGAGCTGTGTAACAATGTGTTGATTTATGTAAATCGTCAAATCATAACGTGGTGTGTGTATAATGGTGTATTAACTAAATAATAACGACGTAATAGTTATCGTGCCTTAATATTAACATTCATCGTTTTATCATTTAATTTAATAACAATTAAAAATAATTAAAATAATTGTTAAAAAATATTATCTGTTTTTACGAATTTTTTGCTATTAATTATCTAATAATGGATCATTTAGATATTAAATCAGAAGATTTTTGGAAAAAATGCACAACTCGGCAATTCTATCAACTATTAGAATCTGAATATTTAGAATTAGGATTAGATTCCAGAATTAGTAGTGATTTTAAATTTGCCGTAAGTTTAGGTATTCAACATATTGAGGACGTGTGTAAAATATGTTCAAAAAAATGTAAAATAATGTATAGAAGTGATAGAAATTCATGTGTTTTGCGATGTCAATATTGTAGGCATAACAGTTCAGCCTTTGATGGCACATTTAAAGGAAAATGTGGTAAAATTTCATGGGCAGCAATATTGTCATTTATATGGCACTATGTAGGATTGGAATGTACTTCATCAAATTCTGCTATTGCCGCAGGAATTTCTAAGAAGGCAGCGGTTGATTGGTGTAATTATATACGTTTTGTAATGCTCGTTGCTTTGCATAATATGACTTCGTTCAAAATTGGAGGTCCCAACAAAACAGTGGAAATAGATGAAACTGTTATATATAAGCATAAATACGAAAAAGGCCGTAAATTAAAAAGTACCAAATGGGTAGTTGGAGGTATTTGTAGAGAAGACAACAGTTGCTTTATTTGTCAAGTAAATGACTTTTCAGAAACAACTCTCAATTGGATAATATATAAGTTTGTAAATTCAGGAAGTGTAGTTAATACTGATGAATGGAAAGGTTATAACAACATAGATAAATTGGAAGGAATAAATATTGAACACAGAATGGTCAATCATTCAGAAAATTTTGTGAACCCAGATATGGGGGTTCATACCCAAAATATCAAGAGATTATGGGGTTATTTAAAGAATAAGAAAAATTTGCCTAAACATTATACAGAGGATCTTTCAGATTCTTATATGTATTCGTTCATGTATAAAAAGTTCTTGAATTGGCCGTCAAAAAACCCTGGAGAAAGGTTTTATATTTTCATTAAGCACTTACGTAATATATATCCCGGTTCTGGAAAAATACCAATATGGAAAGAACCTGAGAGTGTACCTGCTCCTCCAGTATCTAAAAATAAGAAGAAAGGAAAAAAAGAAAATGGAAATAAAGGCAAATTAACAGATAAAATGGATAAAAATAGGAATGATAAAAGAAAATCTACTTGTAAAAAGGAGTCTACATCGGAAAAAATCAAACGTCATATAAAAGAAACTAGTGATCAATAATGTAAGTAATTTTATTATTTTGTAATTTTATATATTTAATAAATATTGAAATATTTCCAATCTCAGAATTGAAGAAAGTAAATCACGTAGCATTATTTTGATTAATTCTCATTACGGAATAGTAGGGTGACCGGATATTGATATAGTAAAAGTAGGACATTTGAAGTTTTATAATGCTTCCCAGTAGGACATTTGACAACCCAGCTTAAAATAATAATAATCGGTAGTAAAAAAAGCACAAAACACTAAAAATTGATAAGTAAATAATTTTAAATTGATATACTACTCTTGTTGTTTTAAATACTATTCTTTGTTGCAATTGTACCCATTATTTAATATAAAAATATGAAAAAAAAAAAGTTTATTGTTATTATTAATGACTACCTAGTAGTAGTAGTTATCTCTGAAAGTAGGACATTTCCATTAGGTGGTAGGATGTAGGACAAAAGGTTTAATTATAGGACATGTCCTCCCACAGTAGGACGGGTTGACACCTTACAGAATAGTATTGAAAATGGCGACAGGAAGCACTGCCATTTTGGCTACCTAAGGTAAATCTAACCAATTTACTTTAAATAAAATTTTAAATTTCTTATTTTATTGGTTAGTGCTATATTTATTCATTTCTTTTAATCAAAATAAAATAAACAAATAAACTTCTCATTGAAACCATTCTTCAAAATCACATCAAAAATGACTTGAAGTATCTAATATAAACCCATTCACAAATTTATAATCTACAGTTCATAAGATACCTTTTCTTGAAAATTGCCTTGCAGACTAATAAATTCAGAGGACTCTTATTATAATTATAATAGTAGTACTGTAAATGGAATTACAATTAGTGGAAATTCTGATTCTGATACTAGAGAGACATGCAATTAAATATTATATAACTTTGACTGAATTACAATTCATAAATCTGTTTTCTGTCTGCTGCTTTTTGCAGTATCGTACAAGGTTTTAACAACAGTTATTGTATAATTGAAATAAAAAATGCCAGCAATCAAAACTACTGTACTATGAACAAGTAACAATTAAAACAATAGCAAGATGTTTGAAACACTGGTTAAAAATGATTTTGCATTGAGGATAATAGCACAAAAAAATAACTTAAGAATACTCATTTATCTTAAAATGATATGTCAATATTGTATATTTTTTAAATTCAATTTGCATCTATCCTTTCATGTATCCTTTATTCTGCTGTTTTAATTGATCATAGATTCTTTTGTACTTATCACTCATACTCAGAAAAATTAATAATTGGGCTGCAAGATTAACTATATATGAACTTCCAATACAAACCGGAAGGCATATTATTTTCATTTCAATTCAAAAATTTTCCCCTGAAAGATGTTAGATAGATGATTGGCATGATGCTATTCCTTTGTTAAAGGAAAAGTATGATGTACAGGGGCAAGCCACTACTAATTTGAGGTGGAGAGTGCATATTTTAAATTAAATAAATTAAAAATATGATTAAAAATTGCAGCTCATCATTGTGACAATGTCACAATAAATAATACTGTTAAGAATTTGTTTTATGACCACCTGGTGAACATGAAACTTTCTTGTCCTAGGTAAAGTCCAGGTACCCCACTGGAATACCTGGGGATCTGTTCTGAATAGTATCGTTAAGCTAATGAATACAATAAAAACCAGTTTCTATCGGAACCACATGATTCGCTTTTAGTCAACTGTGAAAATGCTAATCCGAGCCGTACATTTTGTTTTTGGTTCTGATTGCCATGTGCGATAACTAAGCTTTTGTTAGCGATCAATCTTGAGCCGTTAGGAATGTAATGAAAGTGTAAACAACATGGCATCTTTTGGTGTAAGAATGATTTTACTTCATGAGCAATTAGAGAGAGAGTTAATAAACTATGTTGTTGTATTGCTTAAAAATAATTACCTTAACTATTTATGAATATTGTAATTGCTTTCTTGGTAAAATTTAAAGTAAGTAGCTATAGCATGAACATTATTTTTGAAATAGGTTTCATTCACATATGTATAAATTAAAATGCTAGTCATGTATTTATATACTGTATTTATATTCAAAGCTATCAGCTATTTTTTGCCATCTTTCTGGGTCTTTTTGTGAGCCGACTCCATCAGAATTCAGACAGTTGGCTATTTCTTGCCACAATTTCTGACAATCTTTTACTGTAAAGGAAACATCTAACTTCCCTGACATTAATTTAGGGTTTTCTTCCATAAAATTAACGAGCATCCCAAACTGGCAAATTGTATTTTGCTGGCTTTGTTGGCCTGTCTTCGGCATTTTAAAACAAAACTATTTCACTAGTGCTGGTACATGACGATGCTAAAACTGTGTGTTTCGCTTAGAAAATGGCCGGTTGTAGTCATGTGACAAAAATACAATGTTAACTAAACTCTGATTAGTTAAAGTGTAATAGCTATTGATAGCATGTAACCCAGACGCATCTCGACCGACTACTCGTAGCAAAACCCACTTAACGTGGAGCACAGAATAGCACAGAATTTTGTCTAAGGTTCATTAACTGCCTTTTGCTAAGGGAGCTTATTGAATGTCCTGTGTATTGCTCTCATTGAGTTATCGGAAGAGCTCAGAATAAGTCCCCTGGACTTTACCTAGGAGAATTTGAGGAGGAAAGTTATTAAAGCAATTAGATCTGATAGGAAGAAAAGACACTTAGTATTTTCTTCCTATCTTAGTATATTGTGGGGAAAAAAAGCCTGAGTCAAGAAGGAAGCTTTAGATGAGGAGATATATTAAATGGGACAAGAGTATAATAACTGATAGTTATCTTCATTAGAATGCATATACTGTATATGTTTATTTGTATAAATATTTTTTGAAGGGAAGACTTTAAATAACGTTTATCAAGAGATGTAGATTTATAAAAGAAAGACAAATTTGGGGATGCTCCACCATATCTATAGTGTTGCTGAATGTTTCATAAGGAAGGGCATCGATATCTTAATCATTTCTGCATAAGCCAATAAGTCAAATTTTATTATCCTTTTCAGTCGACCTTACCTACATTACTTTTTATTTCTACTTCTAAGCTTTCAGTCTTTTAGGCTAAATTAGTTCTTAAATTTGTGTTCAGTAGTTATATATGTCAGTGGTTCTGAACATTTCTTGAGTTATGGACCCCTAAAATTCCCACACTATGATGAACTAGTGGACCCCTAGGGATCCATGGATCCCTAGGGGGTCCACTAGTTGAGAAATGCAGATATAGGTCATTAGTAATCATTGCACTTAGCAGATTTTACAAAAAATTTTAATCAATACAAAGTATGTTTTTGTCATTGTTCAGTCACAATAGAATGCTAATTATCCAAGGTAATATGGACTGATGCTACTTTGGATAACCAAAAAGTAAGATAAAACAGACTGCCAAAGCCATTTCAAATTAAAAATTAGTAATATACAATATTTATATGGTATCTATCACTTTTAACCTTTTTTTTTTTATGCCTTAGTGAATTTAATCATATATAAGAACAACAATTTTTTTTACCTCATTTATTATACATCTACATTCGAAATAGTTTTAAGAATAAAAATGTGTATTATTATAGTTACATTAATATGAATGATTTGTTCTCATTCAAGTTAAAATGATAAAAGATAACAGCAACAGTTGTAGTATTAAATTTTTATAATGTATTATTTTTTTGTTTTAAATTTTTATTTGTTTAGGTTTCATCATTATTTGTCCGTCAGTGTTCAAGCAATGATAAGAAAGAGGATCCGCCAGCTGAAAGTCTTGTCTATAAAGGAGATTTGAAGCTTCAAATAGTGGCAGTGAAAGCTCTCTCTCTAATATCCAGCTTAGCAGGATTGGCAGCCCAACCACTTCTTTGGTATAAAATGTTAGAGAGTAATATATACATTACAATAGCTTTTGGTACATTCTCAGTATTTTTTATATTGTGTACACCAATATTTCTTCATATTTTGACCAGACGATATGTTCTACAGTTGACCTTTAATCCAGAAACTGGAAACTTTTCTGCCACCACACTTACTCTGTTTCTAAGGAAAAAAGTAACTGTTTTCACAGCAAATGATGTGACAATACCCGAGGCAGGTTTGATAACTACTTTCATAGCCAAAAAACAACCAATGTTTATTGATCCCAATCATATTCAGAATATGAAACATTTTAAGCATTTAATGGGCTATGATAAACCTGTAGATCTGTTTTTAGAAACTCCTGATAAGGAAAAAGTTGAGAAATAAATTCATTGTTTTATTCTGGAAGTTGAAGTAAATTCATCTTTTAAGTAATGAAGCCTGATGTAGTAATTGTAAATTATCATTATATTGATATTGTATATAGATTAGGAGAAAATTTTCAGTAAATTTTGTATCGGCTACTGAATTACTTAAAAATTATTCAAAAAGTGTTTTGATAAAAATGATAAAAAATTAGAATTCAAATGTGGCAATAAAATTAGAAACTTCAAGTAATTGATTTTTTCTCTATGATGATTTTATTTTTTCATTAACATCAATCAACTTGTTTTTAATAAGTTCATTTATTTATTAGAGACAATAGGTTCAGTTTAGTTTTAGAGTTCATAGTTTAAGTGCAACTTGTAAGAATTCATTATTACACATTCATTTCTATTATAGCAGATCATTTGATAATACTAGTCTATCAGGTTGATGTATGTTCTGTAATATAAATAATTATAGGACAACATAGGATCTATCTACCTTTAAATCTTTCACTATAAATTACAGTAGAGCGTCGTCTATCCAAAAGTCGGTTATCCGAAAGAATTCCAGTCGGCCTAAAGTATAATTTTTATTTGTGTTTATATTTTTCAATGTATATATTTTGTTTGTAAAACATAAAGAAATAATTTTTAACGATACAATAGCCACGATTATTATTTTAAAAAGTTTACGTTAGGCTTAACATGAAAATTCAACGCGAAGCGACACGCAATAGAGAAAAATTTCAACACAGGATAGGTTAATATATTTTTTCGTACATAATCAGTTATCCGAACAACCCCAGTCCCCAAATGATTCGGATAAATGACGCTCTACTGTATTTCATTATAAAATAAAAATTACATTCTTAATATTTCACTGTACAATTTATATGTAAATTTTCCTTCTTAGTCTTCATAAGCTCTTCTCTTCCTGCATAATTTGATGCCAGATATTATGGCCCCTCTAGTTTTTCTTCTCTCCCAACCTCTCAAGACTCATTCTAACATCATCGAATCATTTTCTGAGAGATGTTTTCCTGAGTCTCTTCTGCTTATCAGTTCTATTTTTGGTGTTTTGGATATTTTGCTCTGATCCTTCTGTATACTTTCAGCACAATATTGAATATTATTTGTGATGATGTATTCTCCTGCTTGAGTTCAGTGTGCATCCTAAATGTAGACAATTTACTCTAACATTTTTGTGTTCCTTCTACACAAATCTTAAACATCATAATTTTTCCAGTATTGTGTGTAATATCCTCTAAGATGAACTCTGTGTCTGTGAGGTCTCTGGTCACTTGAAAAAATCCAGTCACAACTGATCAAATATCTTTACTTTTTCTTTTCAGAAAAACATGACAATTACACTTCAATTTGAAATGCATACAACAATCCCTCTTTGGTGTTAGTGTAATTTGGGAGGAAAAAATACACCTAATTTAGGTGACATTAGACGATAAAATTATAGAACATTATAATTTTGCAGGTCTCAATTTCAATCTTCTATAATCACAGAATTATTAACAGTATTATACAATCCACAACAATTAAAATATTACTACTACTAAATAAGTGAACAATGTAATGAAAACAGATAGTTCATTAAGTATTGTAATTTTGTACTTATTATAAAATTACAATGCATGATGAACTATTATAAAAAGTATTGTTTACCTATTGAGATAATATTTTAATTGTTGTAGATTGTATAATACTGCTAATAATTCTTTGATTATAGAAGAATTGAAACTTAGACTTGCAAAATTGTAATGTTCTATAATTTTATCATCTTACCCACATTAGTATAATTTGAGAGGAAAAATACAATGGGTGATCGGTTAACAAACAGTTCGGACTATGAACAAATTTGATAACAAACACTTTTGTGAAAGATTTTGTTTGGACAATGAACACCTCACAGAACAAACACAAGAAGAAGCAATATAAAATAATGAATGCCAATTGGTCTTCCCTTGTCTTCAGGCAACAATTTGAAACTTTTCAGAGTGCAGGAGACATCGACACACAACCTGGTATATACTGATCAGATAGTATTCCTCTGAACTTTGAAACTCTCCCTTGTAATTCCAGCCTTTTATTTTTCTGACAGAAAGAATTT